CCCCGCGCCGGCCCCCGGATCCCCCCGCAGCAGCCCCCTCGGCCCCGGGACTCACCTCCTCACGCATCTTCTTCACGGACTCCCCTTTCTGCCAGGAAGGAGAGAGAGGAAAAAGGAAGAAGGCGTTAGCGTGGTTGTGGGGGAGGGGACGGGGAGAGAAGGGGAAGGCGGGATGAGAGCATTAGTTTCCTTGCTTACCTTCCCAATGATGCTTCCCACCTCCTGGGATGGAAACAAAAGCACCATTAGTCAGCGTTTTAAAAACTCCAGGAGTCCCAGAGCATAAACTTGCCCCTTTCACAGCCTAAACTTGCCCCTTTCACAGTCTAAACTTGCCCCTTTCACAGTCTAAACTTGCCCCTTTCACAGCCTAAACTTGCCCCTTTCACAGCCTAAACTTGCCCCTTCCACAGCCTAAACTTGCCCCTTTCATAGCCTAAACTTGCCCCTTTCACAGCCTAAACTTGCCCCTTTCACAGCCTAAACTTGCCCCTTTCACAGCCTAAACTTGCCCCTTCCACAGCCTAAACTTGCCCCTTCCACAGCCTAAACTTGGCCCCTTTCACAGCCTAAACTCGGCCCCTTTCACAGCCTAAACCTGCCCCTTCCACAGCCTAAACTCGGCCCCTTTCACAGCCTAAACTCTGCCCCTTTCACAGCCTAAACTCGGCCCCTTTCACAGCCTAAACTCGGTCCCTTTCACAGCCTAAACTCGGCCACTTACACAGCCTAAACTCGGTCCCTTTCACAGCCTAAACAAGTTCCTGAGCACTTGGGATCTGTCCCCTCCAGACACCCGGGGATGTGCACTGACACTCTGTTCCCACCTGAGCTCCCTCCAGGTCGTTCCCCCCGCCCCCAATTCTTATTTCCATCCCTGGCTGTGCTTTTACGGCTCTGCTGCTGCACCCCAGGAGCCGGCCGGGCGCCAGGAGCACATTCCCGGCTCCGCAGCAGCTCCAGGAGATCCCCCTTCCTGCCATGGAAGCGCCCAGCCCACCCCGTGCCAGGTGAGGGCTGGGGACAGAAGGGACACAAACCTTTCCGTGCATGAGTAGCCGGATGGTGAGTGTGACATTGAGACCCCCTTCGATGACTCCGGTGTCCATGGTGGGGTCGGCTCAGGCTGCGGCAGCGCTCGGGCCTCGGGTGAGCAGCGCTGGGGGTGAGAGGGGCCAGGTGAGGGGCTGAGAGGCTCTTCCAACCCTCCCCGGCCCACTCCAGCGGCATTCCAACCTTCCCTGCGCTCCTTCTCCCCTCAGATTTCCCCATGGAAGTTTCAGGCCGTGCACCTCCCCCAAAGAGCTGAGCCATGGTGGTTTGGCTGCTCCTCCTGCCCGTTTCCAGGGCTGAAGTGGGCTGATCCCACCGGGATCCAGCAACTCCTAGGGTCACAAGGGTCCCACTCAGCCCCTGCCTCCTCCTTACAGGGGCTTCCTGTGGGGACAAGGGACCCCGAGGAGGAACTGAGAACTTCAGGGTGACCCTCAGGTGGGACTGGGGACACAAACGGTCCCTGGACAACCATGGGGCTCTGGGGATCTAAGAGGGACCCCTGAGTGGGCCCTACAGCTCTGGGGAACCTGCCTGTTCCTGTGACCCCCCATTCCTTCCCCAACTCCCGAGCCTTCCTGCAGCTGCCCAACGGGAGCAAGTGCCCCATTCCCGGAGGTCTGATCCTCCGGGAACCCAGGACTGGGGAGAAAATAAACGACATCCACTTCCCTGAGCCCTGCACCCGCGTGGGGCCTCCCGGAGCAGGTTCCGAGGCGATTCCCTCGGACCCAGATAAGGCCACATGAGCGCACGATCAGGTTTCAAACCACCTGAGTCGGCAGCGGTTGCAAAACAGCCCGGCCGGCCCCAGCCGGGCGTTTAATGGGAATCCGGTAAATAAACTCCCATTTCAGCCCTCGCTTTTGCCCCCATCAAAGTTTAACCGCGGCCGGGGCAGGGCCGGGGGTTCGCTGCCTCGCTGGCAAACCGGAGGGTTTTTGCCGCGGCCTCCACGAGCTCAGCCCGACATCCCACCACATCCAAACTGGCTCCGCTGGCCCGGCTCGGGAAGCAGAGCCGGCCCCGATTCTCCCGCTCCGAGCCCGCCCGGTCCCTTTCTCCGCCCGTCCCACGAGCCCCGGCCGGTCCCGGGGACAAAAGGGGCCGAGCGGCCCCACTCCGGGCTCCAGGCGAGGCTCCTCCGCAGGGAAACTTCCCCGAGCTCCCCCTCGCCGGATCGAACCGCCCCCGGGACCCCCGTCCCGAAGTGGGAGCAGCAGCGGGGGGACCCGGTTGCCGGGGCTGGGACGTGGCTCCAGAACGCGCCTGTCCCTGAGGCGGGAACGCGGCTCCGGAGCCAGCTCAGCCCTGCGCGGGGGGGTGGGGAAACAGGCCCGGGGTCCCGGGCTCCGAGCCCAGCTGGGGGACCGCGACAGGAACGGGAGTCACGGGGCGACCCCCGGGGCCGCGATGGAGCCCCCGGAGTGAGGGGGGGGTAAGCAGGGAGGTCCCGGGCCGGCGGTTTCGAACTGGTCCCGGAGCCCGGCGGGGGGAACCGGGAGCTCGGGGAGGGGCTCTGGAGTCTGGACTGGGCTGGGGGGTACCGACCCCGGGGCTCTGAAACCCCCCCAGAACTGGGGGGCAGACCTCTGGCCGGGGATCGCGGGGGTTCGGGGAGCGGGAAACACGGACGTCTCGGGGCGGAGGGAGGGGGAAGGCGGCCCCCCCTTCCCACTCCGGAGGGGTGGGAGAAACAACAGCGCGGGATGGCGGAAAAAAGGAAAAAAAAAAAAACAGAAAAAAAAAAAAAAAAAAAAAAAAAAAAACCAACGGGCCCGGCCAGGGAAAATACAAACTCCCACAAATTGAAAAAAAAAAAAAAAACAACCAAGCAAAAAATAAACAAAACCCAAAACTGATTCTAAGAAAAAAAATTTAAAAAGAAAATAAAAGGGATTAAAAAGGAAAAAAATAATCTCCCTTCCTCGCCTCCCCCGAGCCGGCCCGGGCGGGGGCGGCGGCGCCATGTGACGCACGCGGCGCCTCGGACCCCCGGGCCCGGGCCCGGCGGGGGTGGCGGCGGGGGTAGCGGGGAGAAGGGAGAACGGCAAAGACTCCCCGGTCCCCCCACGATCCTTTCGGGCCGCCTTCCCCCGCTCCCGGCGGCGCGGGCGCGCGGGCCGCACAGGCCGCACAGGCCGCGCAGGCCGCGGGCGCCGTGAGGGCGCGGCCGGCGGGGGAGGAAGGGAGGGAAGGAGGGGACGGCGAGGGGGATCCTCGCCAGGGCCCGGCCCGGGAGCGGGTGTGCGTTTGGAGGGTCGCCTGGACCCGGATGGCGGCCGGGATTGGGGGAGCGGTTATGAGGGGAGAAGGGGGGTTGGTGTGGTGAGGGGGGGCGGTGGGGTCGGGCCTACCTGTGTCGGCGCCGGTAACGGCGTTGGGCGAAGGCGCTCCGGGCGGAGCGGGAGGAGGAGGAGGGAGGGCGGGAGGGAGGGGAGGCGGGGAGGGAGCGCGGCGGGCGGGCGCGCGGGATGGCGGCGGCGGCGGCGGGCGCGGCTGCTCCGGCTGCGGCGGCCGCGGGTCTGGGAGGGGGCGGCGGGCGCGGCCTGATTTACACCCGCCCCGACCCGGAAACGCAACGGCGCGCGCGGGCGGGACGGAGCGGCCGCCGCGCCCCGGCAGCGCCGCCCTGCGGATGGGAGGGATGGGAGAAGTGGGGGGGCGGTAAAGGGGAAATTGGGGGAAATGGGAAAACTGGGGGGGTTATGGGGGGTAATGGAGGGGCAGTGGGGGACATCAGGGTGCTTATGGGGGCAATAGGGGCACTGGGGCAGAATAGGGGATAGGGGGCTCTGGGTGCAATGGGGGGCACTGGGAGGTAATGAGGGGCACGGGGGAGGACAGGGGGCACTGGGGGACAGTAGTGGGTAATGGGGGGCACTGGGGGCAATGGGGGCATCAGGAACTAATGGGGAGTAACGGGGGACACTGAGGGACAGTAGTGGGTAATGGGAGGCACTGGGGGCATCAGGAACTATTGGGGAGTAATGGGGGACCCTGTGGGGCAATTGGGGGTTAAATGGGGGTGAGGGATGGAGGGGAGCAAGGGGAGAGAAAAGTTTGGGGGGCAGAAGTGTGTGTAGGGAGGGGCCATGGGGCAACTGGGAGGCAAAGAGGGGCACTGGGGACAACTTGGGGGGGCAACGGGGACAACTGGGGGCAATGGGGACAACTGGGCAGGGGAGGCAGTGGGGATGGGGGCAGAGGGGCAGTTCCCCCCACAGAGGGGCTTAGGGGGTTTGTGTCCCACCCCTGACCCCGCCACAGGGAGTTTGTGAACCCCTCCTTTTCCTCACCCCAACCCCCCCAGTGGCACAAAGCAAACACTGACACACATTGGGGTGTCCCAGAGCTTTTATTTGGGGGCCACCCAGGGGGGACATCGGGGACATGATGGGCACGAGGACCCCGGTGGTCCCAAGGGGGTCCTCCCAGGAGGACATGGGTGGTCCCAGAGGGTCCTGGGGGTCCCAGGTGGTCCCGGGGGTCGTGGCAGGAGCCTCAGTCGGAGCTGCTGGAGGAGGAGGAGGAGGAGGAGGAGGACGAAGAGCGCTGTGGGGGGGGACAGCACAGCCATGAGCACCCTGGGGGGGGGGAGGCTGGGGGAGACCCCCTGTGCCCCCCACACTGCAACCCCCACCCCCTCCACACCTTGTGCCTCTTCTGGGCCTTCTTCATCCTCTTCTTCATCTTCTTGGCCGCCTTCTTGTCCAGCCCGGGGGCACAGGGGGCACCCCAGGGTGGGGGCTGCAGGGGGAGCCAGGGGGTGCCGAGGGCCCAGGGAGGCCCTGGGGGTACGGAGGGGTCCAGGGGGTATGGGGCTGCCCAGGCCCCCAGCGGGTTCGGGGGCACCCCGGGGGTGGATACACGGGGTTGGGGGCGGCACCTGGGGGTACGTGGGGTTTGGGGGTACACGGGGTTGGGGGCGGCTGCCCTGGGGAGGAAAAAAAGAGAAGATTGAGGGGGGGGACCCCTAACCTGCCACTTCCCCGGGGGGGTGGGGGGGGCAGGAGTGGTGGTCAAGGCAGCCCCCCCATCTGGGGTGTCCCCCCTATACCTGCACCAGGGTTCCACATGGCGGGTGACTCCGGGACCTGGGGGGGCACACGGGGTGAGTGGGGACCCCCCAATACCCCAGGAAGGGTCTTCTGGGGACCCCCATTCCCCTAGGGACCCCCCTGGACTCTGAGGGGAATCTGAGCCACGGCAGCTCGGGGGGGTCCCGGCCATGTGTGTGTCCCCCCACCTCGGAGCTGGATCCGGGGGGGTGAGGGGCGCAGGGGGAATTTGGGGTTACACAGGAGGGATCTGGGGGTCCTGTGTGGGTCTGGGGATGCAGAAGCGGTTTGGGGTGCACAGGGGGACTTTAGGCAGAACGGGGTGAGTGGGGGATCTGGGGGTGCTGGAGTGCACAGGGTGATTTCGGGGTGCACAGAGGGATTCTGGGTGCAGACAGGCATTGGGGTGTACAGGGGGGTTTTAGGGTGCAGAATGGGCTGCAGGCGGAGTTTGGGGTGAACAGGCGGGGTTTGGGGTGCACAGGATGACTTCGGGGTGCAGAACGGGGTGCGGGCGGGGTTTGAGGTGCACAGGGAGACTTTGGGGTGCAGAACGGGGTGCGGGGGGATTTTGGGGTGCACAGGCGGGGTGTGGGGTGCACAGGGGAGGTTTGGGGTGCAGAACGGGGTGCAGGGAGATTTGGGGTGCACAGGAGACTTTGGGGTGCACAGGGGGTGGATCGGGGGTTTGGGGTGCACAGGGGGACTTTGGGGTGCAGAACGGGGTGCAGGAGGTTTGGGGTGCACAGGGGACTTGGGGTGCAGAACGGGTGCAGGCTGGGTTTGGGTGCACAGGGGACTTTGGGGTGCAGAACAGGGTGCGGGCTGGGTTTGGGTGCACAGGGGTGGATCAGGGGTTTGGGGTGCACAGGAGACTTTGGGGTGGAGAACAGGGTGCGGGAGTTTGGGGTGCACAGGGTGGATCAGGGGTTTGGGGTGCACAGGGAGACTTTGGGGTGCGGAACGGGGTGCGGGGAGGTTTGGGGTGCACAGGGGGTGGATCGGGGGGGTTCGGGGTCTCCGCTCCCACCTGCGCTCCGGCCGCGGCCCCTCCCGGCAGGAAGCGGGAGCGGAGCTTAGCGAGAGGCTCCTCCCTGTAGGCGGGGCCTGTTTCGCGCCCCAGGGGCGTGGTCGAACTGTGGCTCCTCCCTCTGGTGGTCCCGGTCCCCCCCCCTCCTCCCCCCCGGTGCCTCCGTTTCCCCCGCACGTACCTGGCGAAGGGGGGGTGGTCGCGGGCCGGGGTCCACCGTGGGGGGCGCGGGAAGGGGCGCGGGACCCGCAGCCAGGCGCTGCAGCCGCTGGAGCGCCCGCTCGGCCGAGAGCCGCGCCTCGGGGTCGGGGTCCCAGCAGTCCTCCAGCAGCTCCGGCAGAGCCCCCCCGGGCTGTGGGACGAGCCCCCCACCACAACCATGGGCTCAGCGGGGAAGGGGGAACACCTCCATGCCCAGGGGATCCCGCCGGGCATGGCACCCTCAAAGAGGGGCATCCCCCAAACAGGGACACCCACCCCAGTCGGGGACACCCCTGGCACCCTCAAAGAGGGACATCCCCCGAACAGGGACACCCACCCCAGGTGGGGACACCCCTGGCACCCTCAGCACCCCTGGGCACCCAGGAAGGGACCTCCCCTGGGAAGGGGCACCCCTGGGCTCCCTCAGGCACCCCTGGGCACCAAGGCAGGGACCCCTCCTTGGCCACGGGCCCCCTGAGTCACCCTGCACACCCCTGGGACCCTCTGGGCATCGACCCCCATGGGGTCACCCCCACCCACGGGCACCCTCAGCACCCCGGGCCACCCTCAGGCACCCAGTCTGGGGGTGCCCCCCGGGGGTCTGACCTGGGGGGCTTGGTGCCAGGCGGGGGGGATGAGCGGCCGCCGCCGCTCGTCTGCGGCCAAGCGCCGGAGCTGAGCCCCCGTGGGGCTGGAGCCCAACTCCGCCTCGTAGGCCAGCTGGAATGCTGGCACAGGGGCTCCTGTGGGGCAGGGAAGGGGGTCAGCGGGGCCAAGGGGGTCCATGGGGGCAGAGGTGGGACCCCCAGGGGTGCTCACCGGGGCTGAGGGCCTGGCAGCGGGACAGGATCTCCCAGAGCAGCAGGGCCAGGGCGTAGACATCAGCCTGGCGCAGGGCACGGCCCCAGGCCCGCAGGTCCAGGCTCTCATCCAGGATTTCGGGCGCCAGGTACCGCTGGGTGCCCGCCTGCACCCACCAGAGCCATGAGCCCCGTGCGGGGTCGGGGGCACCGGGGGAAGGAGGGCACGTGGGCACCAAGCTCGGGCACGAGGGCTTGGCTGGCACCCACACACCACCCTGCCGGCCGTGTTGGGGGGTCCCACCCCCAGCCTGTCACCTTCCCACCCCATCCCATCCCACCCCACCCCAGCACCTTGCGGATGGCCACGGCGTGCCGTGCCCCGGTGCCGTCCTGGGCGCGGCGGCAGCGCCAGCGCCAGCCCGAAGTCGCCGATGGCGCAGGTCCCGTCCTCCCGCACCAGCACGTTCTGGCTGCTCAGGTCCCGGTGCACCACGCTGGGCTTGTACAGTCCTGGGGGGCGATGAGGGGGCTCAGGGTGGGGGAGCAGGGTGAGGGGCATCCCCCCAGCTTTGGTCAGGGTGGGGGTACCGGTGCCGCGCTCACCGTCACGCCAGAGCTCCTGGTGCAGGAAGGCCAGGCCGCGGGCCAGGGACAGCGCCAGGCGCACGCTGCCCGCCCAGGTGCCCACGTGCTGCCCCAGGAAGTGGCGCAGGGACCCCTGGGGACACGGGGGGGGGACACGGGTGGGCACGTTGGGCAACCCGTCCCCCCCAAACCTCGTCCCCCTGTTATGGGTGTGCGCAGCAGAGGCCCAAACGGGGCAGGCACCTCCATGGCCTGGGCACGCCTGTGCACGCCTGTGCATGCCTGTTCACACCTGGGCACACCAAGGCATGCCCAGACGTGCCCAGACACGCCCAGGCAAGCCTGTTCACAATCAGACACGCCCGGGCACTCCTAGACACACCTGGACACACCTCTGCACACCCAGACACTCCTATTTACACCCGTGCACGCCAAGGCACACCTATTCACGCCTGGGCACGCCTGACCGCACCTGAGCATGCCTGTTCACACCTATGCACGCCCGGCATGCCCGTGCACACCTGGTCATGCCCAGGCACACCTACGCACACCCTTGCACACCTACGCACGCCCGGGCACGCCCCCAGCCCAGGCACACCCGTGCATCCCCCAGCAACCTCTGCACCCCCCAGCGCACACACCGTGCCTTGCACACTCCCCTGGCCCCCCCAAGCCGCTCCCCACCACTCCCCTGTGCCCCCTTCACCGTGCCCCCGGTGGGGACTCACGGCCGGGTAGAGCTGCAGGACGAGCAGCCCCCCGCGGGCGCGGGGCCCGGCGCCCCTGGTGCCCAGCAGGCGGGCCACGTTGTCGTGCTCCATCAGGGGCAGGGCGTGCACGGCCCGTTCGGCCGCGAAGCGCCCGCCCGCCCCCGCCGCGAACGCCTTGATGGCCACGGGCCGCTGGCGAAGGGTCCCCCTCCAGACCGCCGAGAAGCGCCCCGACTGCAGCACCTGCCCCGGGGTGGGGACACACACACACAGAGTCAGGACTGGGTGTCCCCAACCCCGGGCACCCCAACGCACAAGGATGCTCATCCCTCATCCCCCACCAGGCAGCCACGGGTGTGCCCGCTCCCAGTGTCCCACGCCCTGGGCACCCCTGGGCACTCTCAGACCCGTGTTTCGTTGTGCCACCCCCGTGGGTGATCCCCTAATCCCGTCACACCCCCCCATGGGTGCTCCCCCCCCCAGCATCCTCTCCTTAACCACCCTCCCACCTGGGTGCCCCCCCTCCCCATTGGGTGTCCATGGGTATCCCCCCCGGTGGCTTCCCCCCCTTTTTGGGTGCCCTTTGCCCCATAAGTGCCCCCCTCGCTGGGTGCCCCCCACCCACGGGTGCCCCGCACCTGCAGGAAGTGCAGCGCAGGCAGGTCCGGGCTGGGGGGCTCTGGGGGGACCCCGATTCTCCGGCCCTCCTGGGGTGGCTGCCCCGTGTGGGCCCTTGTCCGTCGCAGCCCTGGATGGGAGACAGGGGGGACACCAGGGACACCCCCATCCGGGGACCCCCCACCCAGGGACCCCCAGTCAGGGACACAGGGCCTGAGGACACCAGGGGGACCCCCACCTGAGGGGCTCCTGCATCCTGAGGACAGTGGGGACACCCCACCCGGGACCCACCCAGCGAGGGGTCCCCAGGACAGCAGGGACCCTCCCCTACCCCAGGGACAGGGTGACACAACACTTGGGGACCCCCCCACTCCCACCCGGGGAGACCCGCACCCTGGGGACATCAGGGATGTGGCATTTGGGGACACCCAGGGGACACGGGGTAGGGGGTGCCTGCGCCCGGGGGTCCCCCCACCCCCCTCCGTGTCCCGGTCCCTACCGAGGATGCCCAGGCAGGTGAGGAGGAGGAGGAGGAGGGGGCCGGCCCCCCACAGCCACAGGGTCCCCGCGGACCCCCCCCGGCCGGGCACTGGGGACAGAGGCTGAGGTGACACAGGGCCCCCCCCCTCCAACCTGGTGGGGACCCAGGTGGCCGGGGTGGGGATGGGGGGCCTTTTTAGGGGATAATGTCCCCCAGAAACCCCCCCCACACCTCCCGGTGGGTCCCACCCACCCCTTCCAGTGCTCCCCCGTACCTGGGCCCTGCTGGGGCCCCCCCAGCCCCACGGCCGTCCCTGTCCCTGTCCCTGTCCCTGTCGCCGTGGTGTTCCCGTTGCAGAGGTGGCCGTGGCACAGGCACACGAGGACGGCACCGCCGGGGGTCCCGCGGGGCTGGGGGTGCAGGTGGGCGAGGGGCAGGCGGCCCCCCACCCCCAGCAGCCTGGGGACACCGTCATTGTCACCGTCACCACCCCGGAGGTGCTGGGGGAGATGGCACCTCGAGACGGGGATGGGGCAGGGGGACAGGTAGGACCCCCTTGTTTGGGACCTTCCCGTGCCTGGCACCCCCATCCCTGGTACCCCTCCCCCCAGAAGCCCCCTGTCCGGGACCTCTCATGCCTGGCACTGGGAGCCCCCCTATTCTGGGACCCCCCCCATGCCTGGCACTCCCCTCCCCGGGACTCCCCCCCGCAGCCTCCGCTCCCTCCCAGCGCCGCCGCAGCCACTTCTCAAGGCCAAGGCTGCGTGGGCTCTGGGAGGGACCAACACCCTCCCCAAAGCCCCCAGGGTGGGCTGAGCCCCTGCCCCTGCCCCAGCGCCCCCCAGCCCCAACGCGTCCCCAGACCCCAGGCAGGATCAGTCCCCTACCCCCTCCCAGCCCCCAGGGCAGGATCAGTCCCCTTCTGCCCCCCACAATCCCCCAAAAGCAGGACCAAACCCCTCCATCCTGTCCCAGCCCCAAAATCCCGCCGGGGCAGGACCCCCTTCCCCCAGCCCCACAACCCCCTGACCCCTCCCCATCCCGGGGTCTCACCCTGCACCAGTGCGTGGCTGCGGTTCCAGATGCCGATGCAGCACTGGCCGGGGGCAGCGCACGGTGCCGGCCGCCGCCCTCTGCGCCTCCCAGCCCGCCCCGCACGCTCGGGTGTTTGTAGGACACGCAGCTCAGGTTGCGGGGGCCTGGGGAGGGGGTGATGGGGGACGGGGGACACACGTGTAGAGGTAGGGGGGGTGTAGAGGCTCTCAGCCCCACTCCCCAAAAAAGATTCCCTACCCCCCCACGCGGGTTGTGGGTCCCCCCAGCACCCACCTGGGCGCCCCATGGGAGCCTCTGCGGGGCCGGTGGGAAGCGGAGCGGCCCAGGGAGAAGAAGGAGGAGAAGGAGAAGGACGAGGAGGAGGAGGAGAAGAGGAGGAGGAAGGTGCTGCCCCCGCACCAGGGAGGAGTGAGACAGTCCTGGTGGGCAGCCAGCCCTGGCCCCCCGCCCTGCATCACCTGGCAGCCCGACAAAGCCCCTTAAATCGAGCTCTGTGCCTCAGTGTCCCCTATCCCCATAGCCCCAGCCCCCAAATCGAGCTCCCTGCCTCAGTGTCCCCTGTCCCCATAGCCCCAGCCCCCCAAATCGAGCTCCCTGCCTCAGTGTCCCCTGTCCCAACAGTCCCACTGGTGCCCATGCCTCAGTTTCCCACTATGGGACTGCACCCCTGACCCCCCCAAAACCAGCAGTGCCTCCCCACCCCCAAATCACTCCCTCCCCACCAAAAAAAAAATCAGCCCCCTGCAGACTTCCAGACAACGCCAGCGACTCGTGTTTATTACAAAAGAACTCGTCGTTCCCCATTTACAAAGGAGCCCCCCAAAACTAACAATTTTCATCTAAGTCTTTTGTACAAAAAAATAGCACTTTGGGACCCAAAAAAATCGCCCCCAAAAAATCAACCTTTTGGGGTTTTTATGACATCAGCCACCGGATTCGTAAAAACCAGCCCTCCCCCCTCCCCCTCCCCCCAAATTAAAATAGAACAGAGATGGGACGAGATCAAACAGGGAGAGAATTATTGCCAGTTTGGAGGGGGGCAGTCCCCCAGGACCACCCCACCACTGCATAGAGAACTGGCCCCGGCCCCCGGAATGAAGGGGTGACAGTGGATTAAAGCTGGGAGATGGGGGCAGCCTTGGGGACAGCCCCCACTCCCAAGAGCCCCCCACCAGCCCCTTGGGGGAGCAGGAGGGGAGCCGGGGATAAGGGGACACTCGTCCCCAGCCTGTCACCCCTTTATCAAGGCACGTTTGTGTGTGTGCCCCGGGAATGACTGGGGGGTCGGGGGCTGCCAGGGGGTTTAGGGGTGCTGGGAGCAGGGTGGGGACCCCAGTGCTGCAGAGCCCAAACGGGGATGATCAGGTCCAGCTGCCCCACCCCTGGCAGAAGGAGCAGGGCTGGTGGTGTGTCCCCCCACCCACCCCCAAAATCTTCTGCTCCACCCCCAAAAACACAGGGGAGCAGCCCAGGCTCTGAGCAGAGCCCACCCTGGGGTCTCCTGGGATTCCCTCCCCCCACCCCAGCGGCGTTTCCATAGGAAAGTTCAGCTCCATCAGGGATAATAGGGAACATCACCTGGGAAGGAATGGGGGGTAGGGGGGACGACAGGACACGGGGAACATCGTGGGGAGGAGGGGGACACGGAGAACATCACTGGGGACACCTCAACACCCCCCCAGCAGAGCCCAACCCCCCTACGAGGGTCCGGGATCGGGTTTGGCACTTGATCCCTGCTGGGCATGGGGGGAGGAGGGCTGGGACGGAGCAGAGTTGGACTGGGGGGGCAATGGGGGGGATCAGGGACCTTCCCCCCATCCCTCCCTGGGTGGGGGTAAACAGGTTAGGGGGCAGAGAGGGGGGGATGGGGAAATCATCTATTGACAATTAAATTAAGAAACCTCCTTGTTTTCTCCCAATCCTTTGCGGTTTTCCAGGCGGGAAGGGGTGTGGGGTGGGGTGGGGTGGGGAGCTCATAGTGCTTCACAGGGTATTAAAATACAAATGCTTAAAGTTTCCTATATAAAAATATACAAATGCAAAAATAGATATCGAGAGAGAGAGAGAGCAGGGGGGGATGGAGGGATAAGGGGGGGTGGGCTGGGCCCTGAGCCCCCCTCCCCGCAGAGCTTCTGCCGCCTTTGCTTTTTACAAAAAACACCCCAAAAATAAAAACAGTTGCGCTTCACAGTTCGGCCCCGGCTGGCTCAGGGGTCCAGAGGGTGGGGGATTTGGGGGTCCCTGGCTCCTGGGAAGCCTCTGAGTGGGGATAAACTCGGGGAGCAGGGAGACACTGGTTGAATTCCTCTCCAGAGGGTTTCCCGAAAGGATTTTGGCAACTCAGCCCCCACTGCCAGCACCCACTTGGTGGTCCTGGCTCTGCTGGAGCATCTCCTGGGAAAAAGGGGTGTCCCAGGAGTGGGGTGTGCCCAGGATTGGGGTGTCCTGGGAAGGGGGTACCCCAGGAGCACAGGGGTGGGGTGGCCACTCCCCTCATCCCACGGAGATTGTGGGTCATCCACAGGCAGGGGAAAAATAAAATCACCTTTTTGCAGAAAATGCCCCAGCAGAAGCCCTGAGGGGGGGGAAGGACATCCCGGGCAGGTGGGATTTATGGATCAGGGGGTGATCCGGGGGGTCCTCCCCTCTGTAGCCCCCAAGAGCAAGGGGGTCACACACTGACCCCAACACTGCAAACAGGGATGTCCCAAGGCCCTTCCACCACTCTGGGACCCTCCTCATCCCTGGAGCCAGGATAGTTCCACATCCCAGGGTCATTCCTGGGACCCCCACCCCGCTCTCTGCTCCCCCCTCCAGCTCAGACTGAATTCCTTGCTCAGCTCACCCCAGAACTGCCACTTGGAAACAATCCGAGAGTTCTCCCTGCAGCCTCCAGGGGTGGGAGGGGGGAGGTTGGGATCCACATCCCATATCCCACCCTGTTCTGGGATGGAATCGACCCCCCTGGCCCATTCCCAACGGAGAGAGCAAAGATATCATCCGGGGCAGGAAGAGGAGGGTGTGGGAGGAAGAACGGAAAGGACCGAGCCGTCCTGGCCCTCCCACGGCGGGAAGAGCCGGAAATCGGAACACCAAAAAGGCTTTTCCTGAACTGTACCCCATTTCCAACACCCTTTTTTTTTTGTTTGTTTGTTTTCAGGAGCCACCTCCAAGCAGTGCCACACCAAAACCCTCGAGTGGCCATTCCATGTGCCCGTGGCGCTTCCCCCTCGCTCCAGGCTGGATGAGCTCTGCAGATGCTCCTTTTTCCTAATTATTATTACTATTATTATTATTATTAAGACCAAAGTCGGCTGTTAGGAAAAAAAAAAAAAAAATAAAAAAAAAAAATCAACATTTCCCCCCTCGAGGAGGCTCCAACAGCCCCCAGAGAGGGTCCTGGCCAGGTCTCAGCCCCTCTGCCCACGACCCCCCAGCTGGAGCGACTCCACGTGCTCCACTCCCACGGGACAGGGATCCCAGTGCTCCACTCCCACGGGACAGGGATCCTTGCCAAAAAAAAAAACGGCTGGTGGGAACAAAGATCCAAAGGAAAACCCGCCAAGGTCCAGTGCCGGCAGGGGAGGGCAGTGGGAGTACAAGGGTGAAAAAAATCCAGTGGGAATCTCCCCCGAAAAGAAAGGAATTACAGAATCACCTCAAAGCAAAGCGTCCGACAGCCCGAGGAAGGGGGAGGTGAACGGGGGAGGGTGTGGGTTAGGGGATTTTTAGGGATTATGATGTAAAATGGAATCCAGGAAGGGGAAGGAGAGCTCGGGCACCGTCCGAACCGCCCCAGAGGGACGACCTGCTCCGGGATAAGGCATCAAAGGGACCACGCCATGGTCGCAGCAACATCTCTCTCCTCTCTCAAACAAACACATTTCATATTTTTATATATATAATAATAATATAGAATCTTTTCTCTTTTTTTTTTTTTTTTTTTTTTTTTTTTTTGGGTTTTTTTTTTTTTGGTTTGTTTTTTGTTTTATCGTTTTCTTTTCATGTGTGTGTGTGTGTTGTTTTGTCGGTATTTCTGATGGGTATTTTTTTTTGTTTTGTTTCCTTTTTTTCTTTTTTTTGGCTAAAAGGATCACAGAATTTTTATTTTTGTTTTGTTTTGTTTTTCTCTTTTACCAAGGCATGAAGGGCGCCGACGACGGCGGCTGCGAGGGCGACGGATCTCGGGCGGGGAGGGCAGGAAGGAGGAAAAGGGAAAAGGAGGAAAAGGGAAGGGCCGACACAAAAAAAAAAAAAAAAAAAAAAAAACAAAAAACCAATAATAATAATAATGTCAAGCCGAAATTAAAAAATATATATATATAGCTCTGGCCTTCGAGTGTGGTCGGCGGCCCCGGAGGTGGCAGCGATCCCGCTCGGTCGGAGGGTTAGTGCTGGAGGCGCCCAGGGCCCCTCGCGGCGACGCCGGGCTCAGAAGCCGTTGCCGCTGATGTTGATGGACTGAAGGTCGGCCACCTGCATGACGTTGATGCCGCTGCTGGCCAGGCGGGCGATGCCCTCGGGGCAAATGGCCTCCATGGCCACCATGTTGGTGGCGATGAGGGCCGAGGGCGCGGCCCCGCCGTTGCCCTCGGCCGAGGCCGCCGTGTCCATGGGGACGGCCGAGACGTTCATGGCCACGTTGGTGGCACCTCCCTTCTTGTTCTGGTGGGTCTTGATGTGCTTGGAGAGGTGGTCGCTGCGCATGAAGCGTTTGGGGCACTCCGGGCAGGCGAATTTCTTCTCCCCTGGGAGAATGGGAGGGAGAGGTGGGGGGGTGAGGGATCCCGCAGGGGGAAGAGAGATGGGATTTTGGGAGAAGGTTCCTCCCCCCTGAGAGTGGTGGGGCCCTGGACAGGCTCCCTGGGGACACAAGAGCATTTCACAGATGTAACTTCACAGAATTTCGAGTTGGAAGGGCCCCACAAGGATCACCAAATCCAGCTCTTGGAGGTGAGGGATTGAACCCACAACCTCGGTGTTGTCACCAACCCACTGAGCTCATCTCAGAACACTCACAGGGGTTGGGATTTTGGGATCGTGGCAGGGGTTGCTGGGGAGGGAGGTGGGTTGTGGGACCATGTGGGGATGGGGGGAAGCTAGATGGGATTTTGGGAAAAGGTTCCTCCCCTGAGAGTGGTGGGGCCTGGACAGGGGGGGCCTGGGGATGCAAAAGTGTTTCACAGATGCAATTTCACAGAATGTTGAGTTGGAAAGGCCCCACAAGGATCACCAAATCCAACTCTCGGAGGTGAGGGACTGAACCCACAACCTCGGTGCTGTCACCAACCCACTGAGCTCACCTCAGAACACTCACAGGGTTTGGGATTTTGGGATTGAGGGACTGAACCCACGCCCTCGGTGTTGTCACCAACCCACTGAGCTCATCTCAGAACACTCACCGGGGTTGGGATTTTGGGATTGAGGGACTGAGGGACTGAACCCATGCCCTCGGTGTTGTCACCACCCTCCCGAGCTCATCTCAGGGGTTTCCACAACCCCGGAGGGGGGTGGTGGTGGGTCAAGATTTTGGGATGGTGGGGAGAGATTCCAGGATTCCCTGGAGTGCCAGGACCCCCTCTTTCCCCCAGCACCCCCCTGGCCCTACCTGTGTGCGTGCGCTTGTGCCGCTGCAGCTCGTCGGAGCGGGTGAAGCGCTTCCCGCACAGCACCCACGTGCAGATGAAGGGCCTCTCGCCCGTGTGCCACCGCAGGTGGGCCCGCAGGTGCGAGGTCTTCCCGTACACCTTCCCGCAGCCCGGGATGTGGCAGATGTGCTGCTTCTTTTTACCTGGATCCCCAGAGCTCCTGTGATGAAAAAAAAAAAAAAAAAAAGGGAAGAGTTAGACATGCCCTTCTTGGAGGGAGAATTCTGTCTTGAGTCCAAAAAAAAATCTGGATGAGCGAAAAATCAAGTGGATGTCGTTTTTGTCCCTTTGGGCAGCTTAATTGTCTTTGCTCCCTGTGTGGAGAGAGCAGTGAGCACACACCCTGAAAACTGGGGAGGAAACAGGGAGGATTGGAGTTGTGAGCTCGAAAATCTGAGTTTTTGGAGGTCTTTTTGCAGCTCGTCACTTTGCTGGCGTCCATCCCAAGGGGAGATGTGACGAGAGGTTGGGGGGCTCCTGGGTTTTGCTTCTCTTTTTGCCTTAAAACAGGTGACACCGAGCTGGGGGGGACGTGGAGGGCTCTGCAGAGGGATCAGGACTGGCTGGAGCCATGGGATCGATGGGATTGGGCCCATGGCGTGAGGTTCAACCAGGCCAAGCGCCGGGTCCTGCCCTTGGGTCACAACAGCTTCGTGGGACACTCCAGGAACGGGCAACTGTGGCTGGAAAGCTGGAAAAGGACCTGGGGGTGCCCAGGTGGAGGTGGGGATGTGGCACTCGGGGACATGGGGACAGTGGTGGCCTTGGCAGCGCTGGGGGAACAGCCGGACTCGGTGACCTCGGGGGGCACCTTCCAAGCTAAATAATTCCATTTGGAATGCTAGATCCATGGGGAAGCAGCTCACCTGCCCTCTCCTTCTTTGCAGTAGGGACAGGTACAGGCTTCCCTCCGTGTTTTCCGGCCCTGCTGGGGCTGGGGGTCGGGGCTGGTCTCTCCCTCCTCCACGGCCGCGCTCTCGTCCCCCAGCCCGTCCCCGCTGGCACCGTGCAGGCCCAGCTGAGCTCCGTGGTCACCTGGAAGAGAACAGCAGGTTCCATGAGAGTTATGGTACCTGGGAGGGAAGAGCCTTCCCACAAAGCTGGCAGGGTCTCACCTTGGCCGAGCTGCAGTGAGTTATTAATGCCATCCTTCTCCCTCGGCTTTCCTCGGGCTCCCAACATTCCCCTAAAGCCTCAGGGCTCTCCCTGCCCTCCCCAGCCCCACAGCACAGTGGAGGCTCCTCAGCTCACCTACATCATCCCCCCCAGTTTTGGTCCAGGCCTCTGATTTGTGTCCAGGGGAAAGGTGGAAGCTGCATCTCTCTCAAGAATCAGCCCCCTGCCTCCCTCCAGCCACCTGCCCTGCCAGTTATTGCAGCTACTCCAGCACAAAAAAACAGCAAAATTCCAGCTGGAGCCACATCCATGTTGGGGCTACAGCAATGTCCAGGCAAACCTGGGGTTCCCCAAATCCCACCACACCACTGGCATCACCCAGGGCCCTTCGACCCTGGGGGTGTTTTGGGTTCAAAGGGGCAGTTTTGCCTTTCCAAAGGTGCCTCCCGCTTACACCCGATGCAAACACCAACCCACAGAGCAGATGGGAACCCTCCTGCCAGCCCTCCATCCCAAAGAAAAGCAGGGATAAATAAAGCAGGCTGGAAGAGCAGCATCCATCAGCGACAACGCTGCCAGTAGGGTAATTAAAGCCATTATGGAGCGGGATAAAGACACATAAAGTTGAGAAATCATCTGGCACCGCTGGTGGAGATGATCCCCCTCCCTCTCCCAGGGAGCAATTCCCGACTCCAAGAGCCAGGGAAGTGCAGGGCAGCAGTGATGAGCTCCCAGAGGAGCAGAACCCACCCCAGGGAGACCCCAGGGGAGGGTTGAAGCCTCTCCATGTTCTCTGCTGGTTTATTGCTCTGCCACCTCCCCAGTCCCAGCCCCACACGTGGGATATTTCCCTTCCAGCTCCACTCCTTGACTCTCTTCCTGCTGAGGAGCCAGAGTGGGGATGACAGGCTGAGCAATCTCTTTTCAGCTGCAATTAACAGATGCTGACAGAACTGAGGGCAGATTTAGGGTCAGTGGTACCCGGGTAAAACTCCACGGAGGAGCCAGGCAGGGTCCCACGCTCAGGGAGGGACAAGAGAGGCCTGACCAGCCTCTAGGGAAGAAATTTTCCCTGATAGCCTAAAGCTAAACCTTCCTGGCACAGCTCGAGGCTGTTTCCTCTGGCCCTGCCACTTGTTACCTGGGGGAAGAGAAGAAACAGGAGCTTTGCTCTGCCCAGGCAGGGGCAAACAGAGAGGTTTTGGTGTTAGGACCGGCTGCTCTGCCCCTGAGCCCACAGGGATCCAGATTTCCCGGGAAAAAGGCAGTGCCGGGCAAGCCCTTTGCTGTCGAGGACTGAAGCAATCAAGAGATCAAAGCACCAACCAGGGAGCAGAGCCTGACTCGGCTCTGCCCACGTCACAGAGCACGGGGAGCAGCTGGGATGCCATCCAGGACGTCATCACGTGCCCGTGCTCCAGCATCCCGTGTCAAAGCACACGTAAAATCCACACACCCCTGCAGATGGTCCCCTCCAGCCCCCTCTGCTCACTCAGGGCAGGGGGAAACACTGGGCTGAACCACAGCCTTGTGACCTGGAGCTGTGGCTCACCCCACGGCCCCAGGATGCACAGGAATATCGTCCCAGGCCAGGCCTGGCTGCCTGATGCCACCCCAGGGAGGAGGAAATTGTCCCTCTGACGGTGACACAATTTTAAGCCTAGCCCAGAGATCTTTTCCCTCCTGTACCTCAGCAGCCACATTCAAGTTCAGCAATTTTAGGACAAAAACCTTCCCAGTGCCCCCCCCCCTCCACCTCCAGCTCCTCAGGGATGTGTTTACAGTCAAACCCCAGCATGGAGGGAACCAGGGAGGGGGTTTTAAGCTTTCTAAGCCAACGCTGACAGCTTGTTACAAGCCACGGATTAGAGATTTCCCCCCCTGGCCGGGAAGAGCTGCTGGAAAAAAAAAAAAGGAAGGAGAAAACACACGTTCTCTCTCCCAAAAATACACCGGGGAGGGCGAGAATCCAGCCCTGACGCCTTGGAATGGCTTCAATCCTCAAACATGCAGAAGCCCACGCGGCGTTTTCCAGCCTGTTGGCACGTCAGGAGGAGGGGAACGAACCCAAATCCTCCCGCTGGTAATCTCTGGCTGCATCTCATCAAGGTATAAAGGCATGATGGGGAGGGAAGGCAGATCCCAGACGTGCAGGGATCATCCCTCACTGACCAGGAGAGCCCAAGTCTCCAGGATGTGGCAGGTTCAGGGGAAAGCTGGATAATTCACGTTTATCATCCCCGCTAATGCACATCGCTGCTAAGGCTAAAGCTTCCCCTGGAGGCTCCCAGGCCCCTTCTCCATGCTCAGGTCAGCAAAGCCCTGAAAAAAATATATTCATAGAGCAAGGAGGGAGGGGGGGTTAATCCTTGGAAAAGCCTGGGGAGGAAAGAGGGACTTTGGGAAGGCAGGAGATAAGAACTGATCCCGGCTCCTGAACCCTGCCAGCACAGGATGGAGACCTCTGAGACCCCCCAGAAACGGGGCAGTTAGCTGGTCTCCCACTAAAAAACCCCAAACTCCAGAGTCTTGGCTTGGGAATTCTCTCCAGACAAGGCTTTCCTTGTTTCCTACCTGCTGCTCGGAGCAAAAAGCTTCAGTTTGGTCGCTTTATTTAGCAAACAGGAGGTGAGAAATGCCCGGTGGAGAGGAGAGAGAGAGAGAGGAGAGAGGAGCTTTCACATCCACCCCAGCCGACCTTGGGAAAGGGGAAACAGACCCCACGTTCATTTTGAGGGGGAAGAGCTGGAAAGAAAACCCAAAACCAACAAACCAGGGCTCCCTGTGCAAACTCTGCACTGCTGGCAGCCGTGCCCGGGCAGAGGCAGGAGAGGACGAGGGGGGGAATTGTCACCCTGCACGACGTGGCTTCCAGGCACAAGGAAGTTTTAAGGCAAAAAGAAAGGGACGAAAACCCAGGGAACCCTCAAAATTTCGGCATGTCTCCCCTTGGGATGACGTGAGCCAGAAAAAACCTCCAAAAACTCACATTTTGGAGCTCACAACTCCAATTCTCCCCGTTTCCTCCCCAGTTTTCGGGGTGTGTGCTCACTGCTCTCCCCACAGGACACGCCAGAACTGCTCCACACACAGAACAAAGACAACCAAGCTGCACAAAGGGACAAAAACCGGGTTTGGAGCGACACCCCCTTGGATTTTTTGACTCTTCTGACTTCCTCAATGACTGACAAAATGAGTTAACCTGCACCAGGAGCTCATGAACGAGCCAAGCTCTGCCTCAGCGGTTCCTCGGAGCTCAGGGGAACGCAGGGCCCGGCTGCACGAGGATGGGGCAGGTTGGGAGCCTGCAGCCCTTCGAGTAATTGTGCTTTAATTTGGGGGTTGATGACTCGAGGAGCCACCGGCCAGTTGGACAACTCCTGTCAATGCCAGAGGCTTCCGTGCGTCACGAAAAATTGACGCTTGTTTTGGAGAGGGAATAAACAGGGCTGGAGCAGACGGGTCAAGAGTGAGGTAGGGAATCATCTCACCCTCTTTGTGACGTCCCTGAATCCTCCAGGACTCGCCACGTACCTTTGTGGTGCTGCAGACTGGCAGACAGAGCTTCTTTGCCCTCTTTAATTCCTGTCTGGATCGTCACCAAACTGGGGTGAAGCCTCCAGTCTTGCCACAGCCTTCACTGGGGGTGAAAGCACTCAGAGCACCCCATAGCACAGGCAGGTCCCACAAAATCACCCCAAAACCACCAGGGTAGGTAAAGAGAGAAGTCCTTGAGCGAGGAGTATGAAGGGAAGGAGGAAAAGGGAGATTCCCATGGGGGAAGAAGCCCAGCAGGCCTCTCCCACCACACCTGAACCTCCGGATGCCTCTCGCCCACTGCAGCCAAGGGCAGATGCTTCTCCGAGCCACAGATCCCAAGTTTTTAATCACATCCCTCCACAGAGGAGGAATCTGGGCCTGTATCTCTCACAGCATCTAACCCAGACATCCTGGGATGGGACGGGGAGCCGGTTGGAGGTGGGAGACGGTTGGAGGTGGGAGACGACTCTTTGGAAAGGAGCCACATGGAAACTCCCCCAGTCCCGGGAGCCAGGATGCGGCTCCTGCACAGGGTGATAAGGATGGGGCTCCAGCAGGGCTGGGGCAGGCACAGATAAAAGAAAGGGGCAGATCAGGGCCCGGCAGACGGGCCGGAGCCGGGACAGGGACGTCTCCCGGGAGGAGTCACAGGGTGGGTGCGCGGCACCCGACCCGTCCGACCGGCAGGGCTGCCAACCCGCTCCCAACCCCCAGCCGAGCCCTGGCCTGGAGCAGGAGGAGGAGAAAGGCAAGGAGAAGGAGGAGGAAGAGGATCAGGGCTGCCCCACGAAGCCCCAGACCCACCCAGGGGGTTCTGTGTGGGGCGCAGCCTCCCCGGGGACAAAGCTGCACCACATCAACGCAGCCTCTGTCGGGATCACTCCCTTTTCCCACGCAAACCCTGGGATCTCTCGGGATTTGTGTCAGTCTTCCTGCAAAGGACAGGGAGAGAGGTCAGTCAAGGAATCCAGAGGGGATGTGAAGCCCAGCCCAGCTGGAATTTAGAGGAGGAAGTTTCACAATGTGATTATTTTCTGACGTGATGTCACGGGCGCAGTGAAACAAAACGACGGGCGCGTCACGGAGAGATCCTGTCAGGGCTCGATTCCCGTTTTCCCCTCCCCTCCACGCTCCATGCCATGCAGTTGTCTCATCAAGGCCCTGCTACAAAGCTGCCCTTAAAAACAGAAAACAGGAAACAATCAGGTCTTTGTGCCAGTGGCCCCGACGCTGGGAAGAGCCCTGGAAGGACAAAGTGGCAGCAGAGAGCCAGGATGTGTTTGGTGAACACATTCCCAAGGGTTACTTCCCCCCTTTTTTTTTCCTTTCAGGACAGTCCTGATGTCCAACTTCTGAATTCTCCCACAGCCTCCATCCAGAGCCTTGGAAAGGAGCTCGTCCTGCCCACACATCCCTGGGCAGGGGCACCCCCCCAGTCCCACCATGCACCCCTAGAATCAAACATCCTTTAGTGCCCCCAAAACAAGGGGGGTTTAACTCCAGAGCTGAGCTCAGGGGAAATCACCAGCCAGGTTTTACCCAGCACACACCTCAGCCAGGTAGGGCTCTGCCAGGGGCAGGGATAGGGGGGGCAGATCCACCAGCACTACGTGGACATGGAGCTAAGAACAGTCTCCTCCTCCCTACGGTAAAAGGGGAAGAGAAACCCCGGTGTCACAAACTCCCTGCCACCCCCACCTCCTCATGCAGGACGTCCCCTCCCCGAGCGGCCTCGGGGTGACATTGGGGTGACATTGGGGTGACGCTGCTCTCCTGGCTCACAGCCCCACTAAGGGGGTCCTGCTGTTCCAGCCCCCCCCAGAGCCCCTGTCCCTCAGGCCAGGCCTGGTGCCCGCCCGTGCAGGGAGCGCTGGCACCAACCCCAGGGCGGGTTTTGGGGCACTGCCAGCCCAGGAAATCCCCTCCCCGGCTCTGAGGGCGCCTTCCCCTCGGAGCAGAGCCGGCTGCTGGGCCTGTTCGCCCACATACCAGCCCCTGACAGTCACAGACCTTCCCGTGCCTCCTTCCAGCCCGGCTGAGGAGGAGGAGGAGGAAGAATCAGCCTTCAAGCCACCTCATTAGCACAGACACCGAGTTCCATCGGCTCTGCCTCACGCCCAGGAGCGAAAAAGCTGAGTTTTAAAGCCCTTTTCGGGGTCATTTTCTCCTTTGCCAAAAGGAAAGTCAGAAGAACAAATGTCACCAGTAACTTGCCCTTGAACTCCTGAAGGGCTGGGGGAGACACAGCCCCCCATCCATGGAGGGGGGTCAGGAGAGGGGGCACAGAGAGGCTGCAGACCCCGAGGAGGATGAGCTGAGCTCTGGCCAGGTTTGCAGGAAGGGGCAGGAGATGTGGCACTGCCAACCCAGAGGGACAGCTGGGCCCACCACAGCCCTTGCCATGCCCTTTTCCCCCTCCCACCACCCCCCAGAACACGCTGCAGGAGCCAAGGCCAGCTACAGTCTCCCCTGCCCAGCAAGCCTGGGGCTCGCTTTCCATTCTCCTCCCCTGGAAACAGAGGAGCATTTTCTGCTGCAAAAATCCCTCCCAACTCTTTGCCTCGAGCAGAAAGTTCCAGCACATGTGGGGCGAACTCACAACCGCCGGGGAGGCTCCACACTCAGGAAAACACTCAGGGATTTGGATGACAGGCAGTGTTGGGAACAAACTGCTCTCTCAAATTCCCACATTCACAGCCCCTGGTGAGATGGACCCAGGCCCAGGGGGGTTCAGCACCCACTGGAGAGGGGCTGGGGGACAAAGGGACCCATTGCCACGTCCGACTGGAGAAAAACTCCTCCAGCCCTGGAGTCAAACCACGTAAATCCTATCACTGGATCAGCACCAGGAAGCTTTTCCCGGCCACAGCTTTCACCATCTCGTCCCAGGAGCCTCCCGGACCATCCCACCGAGCTGGGTGACCCCCCCAAAAAAAAAAAAAGCACGCTTGGAAACCCTGCTCCGGCTTTTCAAATGTCACCACGTCACAGCCGTGAGCGTCACTTCAGGTCCTCGGGGCTGGGGCAGAGCCAGGCTGGGAATTCGTCACTGCGGATCAAGGGCTGAACACGCCGCTGTTCAGCAGGAGGGGGAGGAGGAGGAGGAGGAGGAGGGGGAGGAGAAGGGGGAGGAGGAGGAGGAGGGGGAGGAGGTGGCGGCTCCCCAGCGCGTTGGATGGGTGGTCTCTAGAACGTTCCTCCCTGTCCCACCTCCGGGGGCAGAGCCAGGCACGAATACAGGAACTGGGACTCGCCCATGCGTTTCTCCAGCGCCTTCAAAACAAGGAACGGGGCTCGGCCTCGGCGTGAGCGGCCCCAGGCACGGGGATCGGGGAGGGGGGGGAACCACACAGAGACCCCCAACCCTCCCCCGCGTCCCCGCGGATCAAAGAGGCCACGGGGGTCACCCCCCTCCGGCCGCAAAAAGGGCGCCTGCTCCAGCCCCTCGCGGGTCTTTCTGCTCAGGGAAATCCAAGGATCAGGCTAATCCCGGGCTGTAGTAACCCGTGGATGCCTGCGAGCCAAGCTGCTGTAGCAACAGCCCAAAATAATGCTGCAAAACAACCCCGGGAGAGCAGCAGCAGCAGCAGCCGCCGCCGCCTCTCGCGAGAGGGGAGCACGAGTTGGATTGAGCAACATTTTCTGCTGCCTCCCTCGACTGTGACTAAATCCAGCAACAGCCCTCTTAGCCAGAGCCAGAACAACAACAACAACAAAAAAAAAAACAACAAAAAACCCCAAGGAAAACAGTGGAAAAGCAAGCAGAGAGCCTTCCCAGAACTGGTTCCTTCCATGGAGGGAGCTCACGGCCCCTCGGACTCCAGGCACGGCCCCTCCAAGGGAAGCCAAGCGGCCTCCAGTTCGCTCCCCACACCCACATATTCCCCCCTTCCTGGGCTGTGGGAGGCGATGGAACAGATCCAGGGGGATCTGAGCAGGGTGCCCTGTGCCCACGGGACCACGATGAGGTCACGGTGTCCTGCAGCAGCACCCAGACACTTAAGGAGCCTTTTCTTCCTCCCCTGTGAGGAAATTCCCCGCGGCTTCGTGACTGTGTTTGTTTTGACGGGGTTTTCAGCTCATTCTGAGTTTTCTACAGCCCTGACTCTTTCCTCAGGCTCAGCTGAGGAGCTGAGCTGGACCTGGGTTCTCCCCTCAGCCCTGACTCGAGACCCCCTTGGTGGCCATCAGGGCAGGACAGTGGCCTCACACAAACCCACACATGCCCTTTGTCCACCCCTCCTTCCCCCTCACAGCCGCCTCCTTCCTCCCTCTTCACTCAACCCAAGAGTTAATTAGCTCAGAAACTCCCCCACCCAAAAAAAAAAAGAGCTTTCATATCTTGTGGTGACCCACAGAGCTTTCATACTTCCTCCTGAGGGAGGAAGCCAGCCCAGATGCCAACTCCACTTGGCACCGACCGCCCCCAGCCCAGCCCTGGCACGGTCCAGGCGCGGCAGAGCCCGGCCGGGTGACGCCACTTCCCCCTCACCTTCCTCTGCCTGGCTACAAACAGGAACCAAAGCACTCACCAGGGGCGTTGGCGATGGCCAGGGGCAGCCCCTGCAGCTGGTGCACCTGGATCCCAGACGCTCCCAAGGCACTGAGGTTAATAGTCTGGAGGCCCGGCACGGAGGAGAGCTGGGCAGCGTTGACGGTGACGGTGCCGCTGGGGAGGGAGGCGATGGGGGTCAGCGTGGTGCTGGTGCTGCCCGTCTGCCCCAGCGACACTCCCTGCATGGGGGCCAAGGTGATTGTCTGGGCCTGGGGGTTCTGCACCTGCAGGTTCTGGAGCTGGATGGTCTGCCAGCTCACCTGCCCGTTGGGACCCACCGTGGGCGTGCGGATGATGATGGGGCCGGAGTTGGGGACAGCTTGGAGCTGCAGGTTCTGCAGGGCATCCTGGGAGATGGCTTGAGTGGCAAAGGTCTGGCCGGAGAGAGGGGTGGTCTGGAGGGCCTGGATTGTCTGCCCTCCTTGGACCAGCTGGGGTTGGATCAGGATCTGCTGCTGCTGCTGCTGCTGTGACTGCTGGCTCTGATCCCCCTCCTTCTGCTGCCCCGGCTGCAGAGCCACCCCGGACACGGGGCTCTGCAGGGAGTCCGAGCTCGGGACACTGCTGGCCCTCTGGGGCGTCTGTGCCTGCGAATTGGTTCCCACCGTGGCGCTGGTGGAGAAATTCATGACCCCCACGTTACTGGTGGTGGTGGTGGTGGAGTAGCTGTTGGCGTTGGTGAAGAAGGCGCCCGAGCTGGCCTGGGACGAGGCCGTGCTGGCGGAGCTGCTGGTGGCACCCGAGGTGGCCGGCTGGGAGCTGCTGTCCGGGGAGCCCGAGCTGCTCAGGGTGCCCGTCTGGGACGTGGGCGCCAGGCTGGCGGCCACGCTGTTGACCGGCAGCAAGGTGATGTTGCCGTTCAGGGCCACAGGCACGTTGGCCACGTACTGGGTCTGCCCGGAGAGGCTGTTGTTGGCCAGGCCCACGCCCTGGATGGGCACCGCCTGCTGCAGCAGGTTGGGCATGGCGATGAGGTTGCTGCTCCCCGCGCGGCTCGTGATGATCTGCTGGTTGGAGCCGGGGATGATCTGGAGCTGCCCGGAGGCATCCTGCTGCACGTTCACCTGGGCAGGGGTGGTGGCAAACTGCAGCTGCTGCCCGTCTATGGTCTGGAACTGGGGGATCACCTGGTACTGGATGTTGGGGATGACTCCCGGCAGGCCCGTGAGCACCTGCTGGTTCTGCAGGCCCGAGGCGGAGGTGACCACGTAGGGCCCCGCGCTCACCGGGCGGCTCTTGGAGGCGTCACCGCTGCCGTTGCTGCCGTTGCTGCCCGGCTCCTTGGAGCCCGTGGGGGTGCTGGAGCCCGCCGAGATGATCTGCCAGCCGTTGGCCGACTGGGCGATCTGGGCGGCGGCCGCGTTCAGGTCGAGATCCCCGCTGCCGCCTTGCTGGCCCTGGGAGCTGTTGGAGTTCTCGTTGGGAGACTCGATGCGGCTGCAGGTGGCTGCCAGCAGGGCCAGCGGGGAGGGCTGCGACTCCTGGGAAGGAGAGGAGGAGTTACAGGAGGAGGAGGAGGAGGGAGGCGGCCCCAGGGGCAGGCCCGAAGTGGAAAAAAAAAAAAAAAAAAAAAAAAAAAAGAAAAAAAAAAAGAGGGAAACAAAAAAAACTTAAAAGAGAAAGCAGGGAGGAGCGTACTGGGAAAAGATAAACACTCCTTCCTGAGCGAACCCACCCATAGCCGGAAAAATACAACTGCCAGGCACAGCGCTGTCAGGCCAGGACGGCCTGAACCCACAGGGAAAAGCCCTCGGGGAGGGAGGAAAGGGGAGGGAAAGGCAAGAGGCCACGGCTCCTCCACCCCGGAGAGCCGGGAAATCTCCCTGCAGCACAACAAACGCCCAGGAAGGACGGTCCTTGCCGGGCTCCCCCGACCTGGAGAAGGGCCAGTGGGGGCCGTGGTGTGGCTGGGAGCGGGGGAACCGCGTGTTGGCGAGGAGGGGAAGCCCCGGGCGGTGCAGGCTTGGCAGGGCTCGCCCTCCTCCTCCTCCTCCTCTTCCTCCCCCCCCACCCCCAACGCAACGCTCGGCCGGGCCCAGCAAACACCTCGGCCCGGCCTCTGGACTTTGCCACGAGTTGAGCAGAGCCGGGCAGGGGCCCGCTCGTCCTCCCCTCCCAACACTCACCTGGGCCTCGCCGCCGCCGGCGCTGCTGGTGCTGCTGGCGTCGCCTTCGCCCTTGTCGGGCTTCACCGCCGACATCTCCTCGGTGCTCTCCTGGTCTGCGCGGGAGGGGAACGACAGCCCGCGTTACAGACATTTTGGGGGCAGGGGAAGGGGCACGAGGAGCGGGAGGGGACACACAGACACACACACACCATGTGCTCCGCTGGGAAGGGGTTTGGGAAGCGGAGGGAGCTGCCAGCTGGCAGCGGGACGGGGTTGGGGGGGGGAGGACCCGGCCCCGCTCCAGGGCCCAGCTCCTCCCCACCCGCCCGGGACACTCCCTGGCTTCCATCGAGGTCCTCCCCGGGCCTCCCCTTTCCCTTCCTTTCCCTTCCCTTCCCTCCTGCCCCAGCCCCCGTGGATCCACCCCGGGATTCCCCGCACTGTGGATCCAGCCCACGGGATGCCCCGGCTGGAACTCCCCCCGCCATCCGCGCCCCCTGTGACACCCCCGCCGCCCCGTCCCTTCTGTCCCCAAAACCCTTCCTCTCTCACCGCTCAGGAGCCTCCTCATCCTCCGCCACCCCCACCCCTCGCCCAGGCCCTGGGGGTCCCTGCCCACCCCTCAAGCCTCCCTTAGCGGGGTCCCCTCCAGCCCCCACGTTGGGGGTGTGTGTGTGTGGGGGTGTCGAACCCCCTGAACCCCCTTCCCCAGACCCCCCAGCCGCTCGCAGCTTCCCACGGCCCCCTCCCGGGCCCCCGCCCCGGCTCCGCATCCGCCCACGCCGGGCGCCTTCCCCGGGAATGGCGGGCGGGAGGAACCACCGGTACCTGAGCTCACACCCTGCCCCCGCCATTCCCCCACGATCCACGCCCGATCCCCAGGACCCCTCCCCACGATTCCATGCCCCTTCCCGCCGCCCCCTCCTCCTCCCCATCCCTGCCCCCCTGGTCCCTCCCCCGAGGCTTTTCCCCTCCCCGGGTCCCTCCCCCAAAGGGCAGGTTTCCCCCAGGCGCGGCGCGGGGCGAAGGCCCGGCCCGGCGGGGCCTCGGCCCGGCCCGGCGGGGCGGGGCCGCCTCTGGCCCCTCCGAGCGGGCGGGCGGGCGGGCGCGGCGCCCGCCTTGCGTTGTGTGTGTGTGTGTGTGTGTGGAGAGAGAGAGAGAGAGAGAGAGAGCCCGGGGCCCCGCGCGGCGCTCGGGGCCCGGCCCGTCCTTACCGCTCATGGTGCCGGGGCCGGGCCGGGCGCGCGGGGCGGGGCGGGGCGCGGGCGGGCGAGCGGCCGAACCCGCCGGTGCCGCCGAGGGGCTGCCGAGGAGGGGCCGCGCGCGGCGGCCGCGGCCCCGCGCCCCGCCCCCACGCCCGCCCCCGCAGCCAATGGGCGCGGCGCGCGGCGGGAGCGACGGGCGGCCCGGCCAATGGCGGCCGAGGGCGGCCCTGGCGCGCGCGCGCGCGGGGGAGGGGCGGGGGCGGGCGGGCTCCGCCTCGCGGCGGCTCCCGCCTCCCAGGCGGGGAGGAGGGGGAGGGGGAGCGCGGCGGGCGGTGGCCAATGGGGGGCGGGCGGAGGGCGGTGCCGGCCAATGGGCGCCCGCGCGGGCTCGCGGGGAGACCCCGTACGGGAGCGGCCGCGGCGGCGGTGACGGGCGGGAGCGGCGGCCAATGGAGCGCAGGGAGGCGGGACCGGCGGGTAACCGGCGCCAACCGGCCGCGCCGCGGCGGGGGCGGTGCTCCCGGAGTGGCGGGCGCGCGGGCCAATGGCGACGCGCGGGCGGCGAGCGCCCGGCCAATCGGAGAGCCGCTCGGTCTCAAACGGGCCAATGGGCGCCGCGGGGAGGCGGGGCCGCGCGGCCTTGGGAGGGGACGGCGCCTCTGAGGGAGGAGGAGCCGCCATGTTGGGCCTGGGCAGGGCCGGGCACCGCCAGAGCCGCCGCGAGACCCCAGAGCGGGCCGGGAGACCCCCTGGGCACCCCCAGACAGGCCCCGGACTCTCCCGGTTCCCCTCAGTAGCGCGGCCTCTGCGCCGCCCTCCCTGTGCGCTTTGCCCTCCACGAGCTGCCTCAGCCCTGTCGCGACAGCCGCCGTGGCGCTGCGACACGGTCCTGCTGCACCCCCGGCGCCCTGCCGCGACATCGCCCAGCCCTGTCCTGACAGCGCCCGGCCCGGGCCGCCGCTGCCCTGGTGACGGGGCTTAGAAGGTTTACAATAAAAAATCCTCCATTTTGCCGAAAATCGAAGGGTTTGGTGGCGAACGAGGCGGGAGGTACCGCCCCCTCCCTCCCCTCTCTCCCCACTGTGTGATTTGCCCATTTCCCTGTGGTTTTGGCCCAATTTCCGCCCCCCCGGGAAGGGCCCGTGGCCTCGCCCTGGCCCGGTGGGGCTGGTTCAGTTCGGGGTCTCGGTCCCCTCCCCACTCCCGATCCACGGGGGGCTCAAAGAACCGGGAGGGGAAATAACCCCTCCCGCAGAACAGGGGGCGTGGGGACAACCTGTCCCTGCCCTGTCCCCTGTCCCTGCCCTGCCCTCTGTCCCTGCCCTGATCCCAGGTCCTTTCCCCAGCCTGTCCCCTCTCCTGTCCCTGTTGTGTCCCCAGATCCTGTCCCCTGTTCCTGTCTTGTCCCAGTCCTGTTCCCTGTTCCTGTCCAGTTCCCTGTTCCTGTCCAGTTCCGTGTCTCAGTCCTGTCCCTGTCCTGTCCCTGTCCTGTCCCCTGTCCCTGTCCTGATTCCAAGTCCTGTTCCCTGTCCCCGTCCTGTCCCTGTTCCCTGTCCCAGTCCTGTCCCTGTCCCATCCCAGTCCTGTCCCTGTCCTGATTCCAAGTCCTGTTCCCTGTCCCCGTCCTGTCCCTGTTCCCTGTCCCCGTCCTGTCCCTGTCCCATCCCAGACCTGCCCGGGGTGGGCTCACAGCACCCCTGCCCGCTCTGTCTCCCAAGAGAGAGTCACCCTAGGACCCCCTCTCAAAGACCCCCCCCCTTTTTTAGCCGCCTTTCCCCCCAGCACCCCTTTAATCCCAGTAGGACCCTCACCCCACTGACCCTTCTCCGGTAACTCCCACCATTAGGACCCCCAAACCCCGTTACCCCCATCGGGACCCCCAGTTCACCCCTCACTGTGACCCCCAATTAACCCCCGCCATGGGGACCCCTCCCCAGTCTCCCCAGTAACCCCAGTACCCCCCCACACACCCCCCCTGGTGGTCGCAGCCCGTCGGTGCCGCCCCGGGCGCGGGTCTGTCGTGTCGCCTGGCGGGGGCGCCAAAGGAGCCGTGTCGTGACAGGGACAGCGACACCGACAGGGACAATGACAGGGACACCGACAGTGCCCTGTCACCGCCCCTGTCCCCCACCATGTCCTGCCCGCAACACGGGGACAGGAGTGGCAGCAGCGACAGTGACAGTGTCCTGTCCCTGACAGTGTCCCCAACCTCTCCTGTCCCCGACAGTGGCACTAACAGTGACACCAACACAGCGCCAACCCTGTCCCCAGCCGTGCCCTGTCCCCAAACCTGCCCTGTCCCCTTCTCACACCGGCCGTGCCAGCGCTGGACACAGCCCCGAACGGGGGCTCGGACCAGTATGGGGCAAACTGGGAGGGGAACGGGGGCAGTGGGATGGGGAAAGGGGGCAATGGGACCAGTCTGGGGGGAATGGGGCAGTGGGATGGGAAAGGGGCAGGGATGGGGAAAGGGGGCAATGGGACCAGTCTGGGGGGAATGGGGCAGTGGGATGAGGAAAGGGGGCACTGGGACCCGTCTGGGGGAATGGGCAGTGGATGGGGAAAGGGGGCACTGGGACCAGTTTGGGGGAAACGGGGCACTGGGATGGGGAAAGGGGGCAATGGGACCAGTCTAGGGGAACGGGGGCACTGGGATGGGGAAAGGGGGCACTGGGACCAGTCTGGGGGAACGGGGGCACTGGGATGGGGAAAGGGGACACTGGGACCAGTTTGGGGGAACGGGGACACTGGAATGGGGAAAGGGGGCACTGGGACCAGTTTGGGGGGAACGGGGCACTGGGATGGGGAAAGGGGGCACTGGGACCCGTCTGGGGGAACGGGGCACTGGGATGGGGAAAGGAGGCAATGGGACCAGTTTGGGGGGAACGGGGCACTGGGATGGGGAAAGGGGCACTGGGGCAAGTCGAGGGGGCAGCGGGTGCAGCCTGGGGTGCCCACCCTGCCCTCGCACCGGGTCCCTCCTCCCTGAGCGTCCCCCGGCCCCCGCAGGTCGCGGCCGCGGAGGAATCAGGGCGACGCCGGGCGACTCCCAGCAATTTTGGGTTGGGAACCGCAGAAATGCAGCGCGGCGCGAGCTGCAGCGGCCCGGCCCGGGGACAGGGACGGGCAGGGGGGTCACAGGGCCTGGGGAGAGCCGAGGGGGCCCCAAGGCAACACGGGCTCGGGCAGCTGGAGGGGTACCCAGGGCAGTTTGGGGGCTCAGAGCCGGGGGACGATCACTGACAGCTTGGGGGGTCTTAGTACGTCATAGGGAGTGTCTCAGTGCTGGGGGCTCTCTGAAAGCTTGAGGGGGTCACAGGACATCCTGGGGGGGCTCCCTTGCAGTTTGGGGAGGGGGGCACAGGGATTGGGAGGACGTCGAGGTGCCCCAGATTGCCATGGGGGGGTCCGTTGGCAACTTAGGGGGACACAGGGCACCGTGGCAGTTTGGGGGTCCTTTGGCAACCTGGGAGGTCCTTTGACAGCTGGAGGGAGGGGGTCAGGCCCCCAGTGCCACCCCGCGGCTGCCGCTGCCACCGCTTTGATGTGGCTTCTGCACCGCAGAGCAATGGGAGCCACATGGCAGGGGGCACACGGCGGGGGCTGGGGGCACCGCAGATGGGGGACAGACGGACGGGGGGCGGACTTGGGGTCCCTCGTGGTGCTGGGGTCCACCCCTGTCCCCCGAGTGCACTCCTATCCCCCTGCTCGCCCCCTCAGGGTCCACCCCTGTCCCCCCACCCCGGGTCCATCTTGTCCCCCGGGGTCTGTCCGGCCGTCCCAAGGTCTGTCTGTCCATCCCGGGGGTCCGTCCTTGCTCCCCCTCCCAGGTCGTGCCCGTGTTCCTCCCCCCATCCTGTCCCGTCTCCCCCGTGGCCCCCGCAGTTATTTCCAGGGATAATTCCCGGGATAATTAGAGGGTGGGAGGAAACACCACGGGCGTGGGCACAGCTCAGCCCCGGCACCCCCACCTCCCCACCCCGGCTTCCCCGTGTGCGGGGACCCCCCACCCCACCCCGGGCTCTCCCTTGTCTATTTTGGTCCCTCTCTCTGTCCCCACAGGTCCCCCCATATCCCCGTGTCCCCTCCAGGTGTTCCTGGTGCCTGTGAGTCCCCCCCTCCCGTGTCCCCCCAATCTCCCCCATGTCTCCATGGGTGCCTTATGATCCCATGGGTCCCCCTGCCTCCCCAGGGTCCCATGGGGCCCCCAATCTCCCCTGTAACCAAACTCACCCCATGTGTCCCCACGTGTCCCCCCATGTGTCCCCTGTGTCCTCATGGCCCCCCGCCATGTCCCCCTTATTCTCCTCCTGTGCCCCCACACCCAAGTCCCCCGGACCCTCCATCCCCCACCGTGGGGAGGCTGAAATTAGGGGGCCTAAACACTCGGGTGTCCCCTGTCCAGTAGCGTTTGGGGGGAGTGCTCAGCCCCTCTCCGAGCCCTCTCGGAGCCTCCCCCCAGGCCCCCCCGTCCCGCGGGGCCCGTGGGCGCTGGTGGCCGGCGCACCCAGCGCGGGGGCTGCGCTATTTTGGGGCCTCCGACCGCAAGGGAAACATCCGGGGGCCGGAGAGGGCGGGGGACACACACACACACACAGAGAGGGACGGGGGGACACGGGGGCCACCACAGGGAGTGGGGGGAAACAGGAGGGCCGCCCCCCCCGGTGGTCCCGGTTGGCAGCAGATTGGGGGTGGGGGTAGATTGGGGGGGCTTGGGGACAGTAGGGGAGGAGGGCACTGCGCTGTGCGGGCAGGGAATCACGATCCCAGTGCCTGCCTGACCCCAGTCCCAGTGCTCCCAGTGCCCATTCCCAGCGCTCCCCACTCCCAGTGCCCCCAGTGCCCATTCCCAGCGCTCCCCACTCCCAGTGCCGCCAGTGCCCATTCCCAGCGCTCCCAGTGCCCATTCCCAGCGCTCCCAGTGCCCCCTGTGCACACATAGAAGTGATTCGGGGCTGCTTCTGCCCACCCCCTCCCGTGAGGGGTCGCAGTGCCCCCGGCCCAGCCACTGTGGTCACCACGGAGGGGTTAAGGGGGGGCTGCCGCGCCCCCTG